AAGGAAAAAAAAAACCAAAAAAAAAAAACCCGCATGTGACCTCTCAATTGTCTTCTGCAAATTGATATTCCCCCAAGTGGGGTCTGCAAAACCGGTGGATGGCCAAACAGGCAGCGCCTGCAACTTGAGGGTTGTGAAACCCTCAGGTCAACTGGCGGTGCTAATTAGGGTTGACGCCCTAATTAATTACCGCCGAGGGTCAGCTCAGTCGGGGAGGCCGCCCCACTTCCTTTTTTTTTTTTTTTTTGTGAACTCGCTTTCTCGCCAATGCGCACCAATTAATCAACAGCTGTCACCGCCGACGTCGTTGAAGACTACTGGGCACCGCCCCAAACCGCTAACCGCCAGCCCGGCAGATGTTGGCCAACTAATTAGTCCCTTGGATGCACGTGGTCGTGGCTCCAATACCAACTGCTATGTGCCTGATTGAATCGAGATCCAACATGGCATCCACACGTTCCCATACACATGTGCAATGACAAGTAACCTTTGGAGGGAGCAATCCACACCACTGATAAGAATACGCAGCGGAAGCACACAAATACCGAAAATAGAATTGAAATGAAAATCAATTCTAATTACCGTTTCTCCCCAAGTCAATCAACAGCACAAGTTTCCAAGGATCCCAACCACGCCGCGGACCAATTATTTACAAAATTTCATCGAAGTATCAGGGAGTCTTCTTCTTCCTCCCTCTTCCTCAAGCTCTAGCTATGGTGCTTGCACGCACCCAACCTATCAAGCCTGCCAATCACCACACACCCTCCTAAATCCAACACCCCTCTCTGCACCACTCAAGAAGCCCACTGCAGATGAAGTGTCCACTCAGTAGGGGAGCGCAGCTCCCAGGAGGATGAAGAAGAACAGCAACTCAACGAAGATGAAGATCTGCCACGTCGAAGAAGAAGCGCTGAAAGTGCAGCTTTGGTGGCAGCTGACTGAACCCCAACAAGAACACAAATATGAGGAAGCGCTCATCAGCACTTGGGCGCCAAACCCAGCTTTGTCACCAATGGAGCTGGCTGGCCCCAGCTATGGCCACCAGCCGTTGAGAAGATGCCCTGCATACATGCCCACAATTGTGCAGCAGGGAAGCAACGCGACCTCCACCAAGACTGTGAAAAGAAAAGCAACGAAAAGAACCCCAAATTCGCCGGCCTCTGCCTACTTCTACCCTCCCCAAATTCGCCGGCCTCTGCCTACTTCTACCCTACTTCCCTAGACGGACAACACAGCAGCCACATACAGACCTATCTGACCGTCCAAACAGCAAACATCTACGGCCAAACAGTCAAGATCTACCTACATGCATCGGAAACCTAGACTAAGGGGACCCGAGGCTAGGACACACAAAAGAAAGACCTACGGGCCTACCAGTTTCCAGAGGGGCAGAAAAGGACAAAACAACAAGGCTGAAAGGCCTAGGACTAGGAAGTAGAGACTACTAGCGACAGCTTCAAGGTTCAAGCCCAATAAGGCTCAAAAGCAGCCAATCACCACAAACACACTACAGGTCATGGGATCAAGTCCCGGCTGGACTTCAGCAAGTGCAGAAAACGACAAAACAGCAAAGCCTGAGGGTCTAAGACTGCCAAAATAGAGACTACTAGCTACAGGTCTAAGCATCAAACCCAGTAGGGCTCAAAGCTAACAAACCCAACGTACAAATTACAGGTCAAGGGATCAAGTCCTGCACGACCCAAACCAAAGAAACAGCAAACACAGTTAGTGTACAGTCCCACTGGGATACTGCAATTTATTGCATATGGGCCACAACCAGTCCAGCTGCGTCGCGAGCAATATCGCCAAGCCTGTTGACGAGGCCTTGCGGAAGACCCCAACGAAGGATGAACAATCCAGGGAACTACCAGCATCAGCAACTGCTAAGGAGCGGACAGCGAGAAGTTGAAAACAAACTGCGCCACTACCCCCGGTCTCATCGTACATCCTGCTCCTCTTGGCAACGAATCTCAGTGTCCTCCGACATGGCTCAACACACACTCAAGCTGTCGACGTGAAAGAATGAGATAGACATCGCAGGTTGGCAGCCGTGAGGTGCGCGAGAAGAATAGTCCGGTGGCTGCCCTGCGGCGCGGCGCTCCCGGTAGCGCCGCGCCGCTCAATAAGCACAAACATCACAGACTGACTCTCGGCTTTTCCAGACTCCTCTCGAGGGCATCATACTCAAAAGAACTTCGAGAGTTTAGAATCGAGAGTTGGTGGAGTGGCACATCACTCTCAAAAAAGACAAAATCTTTGTGGAGAAAGGCCCAAAGTGTCTGGAAAACTGGAAAGTTCTCACTTCTAGCATTAAAGCACTATGGCCAGAAAGTGCTGGGTCAGGGGGGTATAGCGGATGGTAAAAGTTTGGCTCCTTAAACCACCAGCACGTTTCCCAGCCAAAGAATAAAATATGCCGGCACAACTTTTGGGGCTTGGCCTCCAATGCAAAATGGCTGGCCACGCCAGCCAAAAGGAGGCCCACACCGCTTCATTTTTTTTTTGGCGCGCAGGGCGTTTCCAGCCCCGAAGAAAAGTGTCACGGAAGTACTGTGCAATAGCACAGGGCGACATGCCCAGCTGAAAGAGACAGCTGTGGTTACGGAACAACTGTGGTCCAAACTCGGGCCACAATGAGATTTTCCAAACAGGCATGTGCACACCTCAGCGGTCAAACCAATACTGCCCCTGAAGCAAAACCAATCAAAACCAAATTCTTCAACCGACCTGCAGGTGGGCGATACCGGCCACGGTTCTGGCTGCTACGGGGTTCCCCATATGACTCTAGTTAGGAGTAGTGGTAGGTAGGTAGTGTGAGGTGAAATTGAAGAAGACTGCGTACTTTTTTTCAAAAAAGTTTCAAAATAACTAACTAACTAAATAACTAACTAACTAACTAACTAACTAAATAAATAAATAAATAAATAAATACTTCCACCGAGTGGCACCGACCCAAAAAAAAAAAGATGTCGCAGTGAGACTACCTGTAGCAGCAGGGAGCAAAAAAATGGGTACTTTTGCCACCAGATTTTTTTTGGCATGCAGGATGAAAAAAAAAATTATCATATTTTCTCCTGAAAGCAATCTCTGTCCCTGTTTTTTTCGGAAATCTTGATGGAGCACGAAAAATTGCCAATGTCAGTGTCGGCGCACAGCAAATTTTGCAAAAATCTGCTGGTGACCTACGACTGGCACCCGGAACACCATGGGGTGGGCAACGGGAGCCCTGCAGCCGTGCAGCGCATTTTCTTCAAAGGTGAGGGCAGTGGTGGTTTAATCATTCCTTCTGGAGACTTTGCGGATGTCCGCCCTCCTATCCATTGGCTGATATTGTCGAATAGTCTGCTCAGGAGCAGACTATTTAATTTTCCAAAAAAGGCCCATCAGGGTCATTACCGTGCCACGATTTCGGTAAGTACACAGTTTTGGCAAAACTCCACAACCGAAAATGTGGAAACACATATATGTGGAAACACATATTGGGCAACCCCCCTTGGTAGTTTGACAGCACATTACTGCAATACCAGCCATTTTTCTGACAGTCGAGCTAGGCCCTAAGAAGAAGAAGAACAACAACAAGAAGGAGACAGTAGAAGCCAAAGACACTAAGCCTGGCTTCCGGAAGGAAACACTCATATGAATTTAAGAGCCATAAATCGCCTGCAAACACCAGTCTTCCATAGCCATGATACCACAAGAAGAAGAAGAAGAAGAAGAAGAAGAAGAAGAAGAAGAAGAAGAAGAAGAAGAAGAAGAAGAGATGGGGGAGGTGGAGGAGGAGGAGGAGGAGGAGGAGGAGGAGGAGGAGGATGGTGAGAATGAAGGGGAAAAGAATTGGGATGAGGAGTTGGGTGAGATAGGGCATGGAGGAAGGGTTGCATAAAGTGAACTTGGGGCGTATAGATGGTTCGAAAAGAGAAGCAGCGTAACTAACCTGGCACTCGAAGTCAGGGTGTGAACGAGAAGAAAAAATTGGGATGAGGGTGACATAGATTGGGAGGGGAAGGGGTTTACACAAAGTGGACTTCTTTTGGGGAGTATAGACGGTATTGAAAAGAAGAAAAATATAGCTGACCTGCCGCTTGAGCATGCCAGTTTCTAAGTTCCATGAAGCTCCCTCCAGGTAAAGCCCTTGGATGTAACAGCCATGGCGTGGCTTCTCCTTGATGTCGTTTGGGTTGGTATACTGAGTCACTTTTGTATACAGTGTAGACTTGTCCAATGGCCATCCCCTATCACGACATGCCGTCTGGACAAGTGCTGCAATGTATGTCTCTGGTGTATGCAGTCCTGACAACCAAATGACCTTCGGCTCTCCATTCTCAACCCAGTCTACGTACTGTAGATGACGACGCTGGAACCATGTCATCCACGCTCCCAGCCCCTTTTCTGTCTGCGGGTTGAGCTTCCGCCATAGTTTCGGCAGTTGCCCATTAAACAGGGCCCTTGACAGTTCGTCCAGCTCATTGCTCATCCCAATCTCGCCTGACAGAGCCTTCTGAAGGTCTTTCAATGACGAGGTCATCTTTTGCAGCAGCTTGTTCCAGCGTTCAAGTTCTTGTAGCAAAACCACCTAGTATGACATAGATATATAAAGCGACAGGAGACACCAAAGCATCCAAAGCGTCCAAACCGATCAGACCATTCAGACCAACAGCAGACACATTCCCCTACTGTTGTTACCCGAATAGAACGCCGGGTCATTATCACTGCATCTGGACCGAAATTTGTGCTAAATACAGGTATAATGACCGGGTGTTCTATTTGGGTGAAGACGATAGGCACAGCCAAGAGCTACCTTGGAAGACCACCCCATCAGTCCCGAGAACCCAATAATCACAATGAAGCAAGTAATAGAAACAGCACTGCTTGCAAACTGGAAGAAACTTCAAGAAAGCCCAAAAGCAAATAAATAAAGGCCCTGCATCACAGCCTTCCAGCTGAGAGGAGCCGGCTCACCCCTGATTGTAGAGGACTTAGGGTGGTAGAGCAGGCTTACACCTGATCTTAGAAGACTCAGGATTAAAAAAAAAAAAAGGGGCCTTCACACAGCAGGAGGAAAGGAGGGGCAGACTTCCAGTAGCAGGCAGGGGGAGGAACAGGGTTTAGGGTTTTAGAGGAGAAAACCCAAACTAGTTTCCAGGAAGAATGAGTTGCCTCTGGTTGGCTTTCATTACTTTCTTCCCTTTTAGCTGAGCGCCGGTGGGGACCGCCTTCGATATTTAGGTGGAGGATTAGCTAGGGGAGATCCCCGAAGAATGGGACACTGGACCCATTTTCCAGTTAAAGCCCAAGCTGGGTGCTGGCCACAGTATTCCGGGTTGAGATGTGGAGGGATTCCCGGCCTCCTTTTGCTCATATATATAAATAAAATCAAGCTCTTACTTTAAAAAAAAAAAAAAAAAAAAAAATGCGCCCCTGCTGCTCGCTGCTCAAGTCCACACACGGCACAGGGTTAGCAGCAGGCCCACAGGCCAAAACGCGCACAGACCCACACACCAGCCGCACACATGTGCACACAGGCACTTGGACGGCCAGACACACAGCAGCAAGCACACAGAACGGCGGCAAAAACTCAGAAAAGCACAGGTTTCACAGTCTGAAATTGTGCAGGTAATTGCACCAGTGAAGATAGCAGGACTCGATACCCTTGGCCTCAGCCAAGCCCGAGAGGTTTTATAGAGGTGGGATGCTGACAGTTAACCCTCCGATTTGGGAGCAATCAATGCTGTTATGGGGTCCTTTGGCCACAAGGAAGGAAGCTTAGAGTGTGTATCATGGTTGTAAGTGTTATCGACTTGCTGGCTGGGCTACCAACCGGGCTGCACAGATCACCTTGGTTGCACACGCGGCCCGCCCGGTCAAGGGGAAGGGAACGTCCCACCAAAAAAAAAAAAAAAAAAGCCGAAACATCCGGAAAAGAAATACGTTATGCAGGAAAAAAAA